TGTCCAGGTCCAAGTGGCACGGGGTGGGGAGAAACCCCAACGTGGCATCTCAAGGCCAGGGTGCTTGTCCCAGCTGCCTACTGCCAGGTGTCCTTGGACCTGTTGCCAGAGCAGGTAGAGCAGGCTTTCTCTTTTGCACACGGGCCTAGCAGTGCTCATCCTCTCTACTTCTGGAAGTTTTTCTGAATCGACAACCAGATAATGAAACCAAGTGCTGTAATAAAATGCTACTAAACTATAAGGGGCCTTTGTCACTCTAGGATAATAGTCACCTGGCTACAGAGGCCACACGAGATAAAGCAAAGAGAAACCCCATTGGAGGCTGGGTGCTCCCGAAGGCTTCCTGTAGGAGGTGAGGCTTGGGCTGGACCTGGAGAGATGGGAAGTGCACTCCAGGCCCGGAGGCCCAATGGTCTGAGTTACGGGTGGCCTTGGGCAGACTATCTGGATGGCGATTAAGAGGATGGGATTAGTCACACATCATTTAATGATGGGTTATGTTCTGAGGAATGCACTATTAGGCAATTTTGTCATCGTGCAATCGTCACAGAGTGTACTTAAACAAACCTAGATGGTGTGGCCTACTACACACCTAGGCTATATGGTACTAATCTCAGGGGACCCCCATTGTATATGCAGTCCATCATTGACCAAAACATCACCATGACTGTAATGGGCTCGCCAAGTTTAAAGCAGGGTAGGGCCTCCCAATGACCATAGAATGGATAAATCCATGGGTCCATTCACACCATGGACCACCATGCAGAAATGAGGAGGGACTGTCCCCACTCACTCAAGGATGATACCCACAAACCCAGCGTCGAGTGAAAGAAGCCAGATATGAAAGATACATGCTGTATAATTTCCTTTGTAGGAAGATCCAAAATGGGCAAAATTAAGCCATGTTGTTAGAAGTCAGGATAGCATTCTCCTGGGATGAGCAGTGGCTTAGGGTGAGGGAGAGGGCTTCTGGGTGTCAGCAATTGTTCTGTTTCTTGATTCAGTGCTGGAGACACAGGTGTATTCAGTGTATGAAAATTCATAGAGGTGTATACTTAAGATATGCACACTTTTCTGTAAGCATATTATACTTGAATAAGAAATGTTTCACAAAGGAAAAAAATGTGGGCCGAGCTGGATTAGCTGTGTCTGCCTCCCCTCTCCCTGGGGTGCCTGACCAGGTCTAGTGGTGTACCCAGCTCTGTGACCCAGTGCCTAGCCCATGCTGGCTGCTCAGCAAGAGTTTGTGGGTCCTTTGCTCACATTGCTTGAGCAACTACTGAATACAGGGCTCTAGAATCAAGAGGTACGTGGTACCGCCTCTGCCCACGAGGGCTTGAGTGAAATGCCCCAAAACAGTGTGTCCCTGGACCACATGCTTCCCAAAGACAGGGACAGGTCTGCCCCAGGTACAGATAGCACGCTGCCTGACTCACAGCAGGCCCTCACCAAAGCATGGTCAAGTGGAGACCGATGCTCCAGAAAGGTGCTGAGTTCAGAGGAGGAAGGGTGCGCAAGATGGCAGAGGCGGGTCCTGAGGCCGCCCGACACGGCTCCCCTGTAGTTGTCGAGACTTTGACAAGTGGAAGAAAGAGGGACCCGGCTGAGCAAAGGTGAGGGAGGGAGACTCTTAGGGCAAATAGAGCATGGAGTGCGTTTGGCAGCAGGAGAAGGAGCAGTGGGAAGTCACGTGGGAAGAGATGCCTGTGGGGTGCTTGAACGTGGCTCCATCAGCAGCAGGAGCCACTGCAGGTTTGTGGGCAAGAGACAACGAAAGCTGCATTTCAGGAAGAGTCGCCTTGCCTTGGTGGGTAGGGACCCTGGAGGACAGAGGGCTGACCCGGACGGGATTAAAGAGTGAAAGTCGATTGAGGAAGGAGGGTCAGGGCTTGCACGCCATGAAATATTATCTGGAGATGGGAGAACTCCAGCACATCGATAATTGAATAGTTCACATAGATACATAATTCAAGGCCAGCTGGGGACCTCAAATGCCATAGTAACATGCTTGAACTTTGTTTTCTAAGCAGTAAGGAGCCACTGAAGGTTTAGAGGGAAGTATAAGATTATCCTTTTGTTCATTCATTCATTTATTCAACAAATATTTAATTTAACTTATTTAAGCAAATTTTAATTGAGCACCTACTATGCGTTAGGCACTGTTTCAGGTACTTAAGATACATCAACAAATGAAATAAAGATTTTGTTCTTCAAGAAATTTACATGCCAGCAGGAAGAGATGAGAGAAAACATAATAGACTAGCAAATTATATCACATATTAGAAGGTGATACGTGCTTTAGAGAAATGAAAAAGCAGAGAAGGGGAAGGAGAGTGGTTTGGGAATGCTAGAGGGGTGCAGTTGGCAATATTAAACAGGGTGGTCAGGGGAGGCCTCTCTGAGAAAGAAAGACTTAAGGATGTCTGAAGGAGGAGTGTTCCAGGCAGCAGGTACAGCAAATGCAAAGGCTCTGAGGCAGGAACACGCCTGGTGTGCTCAGGAACAGTAAGGAGGCTGTTGGCTGGAGTGGTGCAGGAGAGGCAGTGACAGAAGTCACAGGTTGGTGGAGAGAGACACTGCGCAGGTCCTCGCAGGCTCTTGTAGGGTGTGTAAAGTGGAGATGTCCAGTCAGCAGTCAGATATAGAGTTGAGGATTTGGAGAGTGGTGGGCTGGAGAGAGAAAGATGAGAATCATCGGCATGTTGATGAGACTGGATGAGATTGCCCAGGGGGTGAGTGCAGACGGAGAAGAAGATGGAGAAGAGGAAAGGACTGAGCCCTGGGGCGCTCCAATGCCAAGGGGGGAACCAGCAGAGACTTGGGAGGAAGGGGAAGACCAGGGAAGACCAGGGGAGTGTGGGCAGCCATCTGGGCCCCTAGGACATGGAAGGGAAGCGACCAGAGCCCCATGGAAATTGCTTAGGAAGAGGTGAGGACCTGGGCTAGTATCATGGCTGAGGGGCCAGGTGGGAGGGATCATATGGGAGATGTTATCATCCCAATGTTACCCTTGAAGAAACCAAGGCCCAGGGGCCGGCCCCATGGCCAAGTGGTTAAGTTGATGCACTCTGCTTTGGCAGCCCAGGGTTTCACCCGTTCGAATCCTGGGCGCAGACATGGCACTGCTCGTCAAGCCATGCTGAGGCGGCGTCCCATATGCCACAACTAGAAGGACCCACAACTAAAAGTACAAAACTATGTATCGGGGGGCTTCGGGAGAAAAAGGAAAAATAAAATATTAAAAAAAAAAGAAACCAAGGCCCAGAGAGGTGAAGGTCAAGCATCTTGCCCAAGGTCACACAGCTTGAAAGATGTAGAGCCAGCTGTCGTGAACTTCACAATGAACAATATTTACACAGTCATAACAGGGTATTCTCTGAGTCTTATTTAACAAAAGCCTGTGTTGTTGCTACACTGGAAGGATGAGGGAGCTCAGGTGGAGAGGATGTGAGAGAGGGACAGCCTCAACAAGAGAAAATAGTGATGATCGAATAATGGTAAATCAAATCATAATCGTAAAAGCAAATTGCTTAAAAATATGGAAGTAGATACCAGAACAAAGTTAGCACACTTGAACATAATTACCCCCGGGAAATGGAACGAGGGGTGGGGGGCGATGAGGCAGGGACCATTTTCTTTTCCACAGTTTGACTTTTTAAATTATGTGCGTGCAGGAGGGCCGGCCCGGTGGCACAGAGGTTAAGCGAGAACATTCTGCGTCGGTGGCCCGGGGTTCACGGGTTCGGATCCCGGGTGTGGACCTATGCACTGCCTGTCAAGCCATGTTGTGGCAGGCATCCCACATATAAAGTAGAGGAAGATGGGCACGGATGTTGTCTCAGGGCCAATCTTCCTCAGCGAAAAGAGGACGATTGGCAGCAGATGTTATCTCAGGGCTAGTCTCAAAAAAGAAAAGGAAACAAATAAACAAATTATGTCCATGCATAACTTTGACAAAAATTAAAATGATAATTATTTAAATTGGCAGTTAGAAGGTGGGAGGTTATATCCTCCGGTGTTAACAGTGTTCTCTAGGTGGATGGGATTGTGGATGGGGCTTTTTTTTCCACTTGGTTATATTTTCTGAGCTTTCTGTAAAGAATGTCTAATACTTTGCCAGAAGGGAAGAAAAGATTAGTTCATTGGTGACCTTGGAGGAAACAATCTCAGTAAAATATGTGTTCGAATGTATTCCCATATCTCTTTCTAAAAATGTTCTTAGTGGAGTCATGTTCAAAGACAAGAGGAGTTCTGTCTGGACTCAGAGGTTCTCCAGGACACCAGGCTTTCAGTGCTGGAACCAGGACAGTCCCACGCAGACCGGGATGGCTGCTCACCCAAGGCTTTGTCATTCACAAAGCGCTCTCCCCTCCCCTTGTTCCTTTGAGCTCATACCTACCCAGTGAGGTAGGTGGGCAGGGGTGGCCTCCCCCATTTTAAAGGAGAGGCAACTAAAGCTCAGAGAAGCTCCCTGTCCCTTCCTTGGGAGAGCCTTCGAGAGGAAGTGGGCTCTTCAATCACGTGCCCATATTGCCTTGCTAAAAAAAAAAATTTTTCAAAAAAAAAAAAGAGAGGAAATCTAGAATGCCAGACAGCAGATCAGTGGTTGCCTGGGAGGGGTGGGCTGCAGACGGCACAGGGGAACCCGTGGGATGATGGAAATATTCTATATCTTTATTGCAGCAGTGGTTTTGCAAGTGTGTACAACTGTCAAACTCATTGGATTCTGCACTTTAAATGGGTGCAGTTTATTGTACTTAAATTACACGTCAATTCGAGGGAGACAGACAATAGGAGGAAATGGAGCAATCACGGCCTCCTAGGAAAGCTCACACTCGGGACAACACGTGCCCATTTGCACACTCAAGCTCTTCCGCCTTCACACACCTTCCGACCCCCATCGCGCGTGGAGCATCTCTCCTGCCCAGCCGCCGCCCTCGAGGAAGGGCCCAGTTCTGCAGGAGGCTGCCACCACACTGAATTGTTCTCTCTGTCCCCAGGACTCCAATCTGTCCATGCACACAGACAACCCGGACCTCACTCCCTGCTTCCAGAACTCCCTGCTGGCCTGGGTCCCCTGCATCTACCTGTGGGCCACCCTCCCCTGCTACCTGTTCTACCTGAGGCACCACGGTCACGGCTACATCATCCTCTCCCACCTCTCCAAGCTCAAGACGGTCAGGGGCTCAGGGCTCTCCTGCGGGTGGGACTGGGACCTTGGGGGTCTCCTTCGATGAGTCCCTTCCCCCACCCTCAGCGGCTGGACTGTGTTCCCCAGCCTCGCCTGCCCGGCACTCTGGGCCATGGCAGCCTGCCAACTGGGTCTGCAGCCAAATGACATATTCCCTGCTTGGGGTGGTTCAAGCGAGTTCTCCAGCAACATTCTCCCCACCCTCGAGAAGCTTCCGGCCAGTGCCCACCCCACCCTCAGGGCCAGGCCCTGAGCAAGCCTGGTGGCTTCAGGAGCAAAGCACCTCCTCAGTGAGGACTGTCCCTGTCTTTGGGGATGGAGACTCCAACATGTGTGTGCCCTGTCTGTAGGCCTTGGGCGTCCTGTTGTGGTGTGTCTCCTGGACTGACCTCTTCTACTCCTTCCATGGCCTGATCCACGGCCGGGCCCCTGCCCCTGTCTTCTTTGTCACCCCCTTGGTGGTGGGGGTCACCATGGTCAGTGTCGGGCCCGGGAAGCTGATGGGGGAGGGTCCCCAGGGGGTTGTGGGATTGTAAAGGTGGGGCCATGGGCTCTAAGAAGGCTGGACATCTTAGCAGTGGGAAAAGGATGCGGGTGACCCCAGAAACATCTGGCCACATGGGGTGGGGAGGAAGGGAGGCAGGTCCAGATGTGTGTGCTCTGGCCGAGCCTCCCCTGCCATCCCTGCACAGCTGCTGGCCACCCTGCTGATCCAGTACGAGCGGCTGCGCGGGGTGCAGTCCTCGGGGGTCCTGATCATCTTCTGGTTCCTGTGTATGGTCTGCGGCATCATCCCTTTCCGCTCCAAGATCCTCTCTGTCCTGGCCAAGGTAAGGGGCAAGAAGGGAACCTGCGAGGTGCGTGCTCCCTTAGGGGATGACCTCAAGGCTCAAGGTCATTGCTGGGTCCCAGGCTCCACCCCTCTGTCCATCCCTGGCTCCCCGGACCCCTCTGCTGTTCAGTCCTCTGTGTTATTCCCCACTTGTTGCATCTCTGCTGGGAGGCAGACTGGGGGCTGGGGGGAGGGCCAGTGCAACCTGGAGAATGGGACAAGACGCAGCCATCGTTGGATGTCTGTGGGAGTGCAGGGGACTCTTCTGTTGCTGCCACCAGCAGCACCACCAAGTGCAATGTCTGACAGGAGTGTCCACCAGTGTCTGTGTAATGAACACACGTATGCCAACACTCACGGAGAGTTCTGGCTTCCCTGGAAGTCCCATTATCTTGTCTCCCCTTTCTTCCTACCTTCCTCGGTTCCTGGCCTTCCTCTTGATCTTTGGTGGTGATGAGCAGGATAGGGTGGTGGTAGGAACACTGGACATCAGTTTAGCGTCTCCCCATTTCTCCATCTCAAGGGGAGGTAGTCAAGTGTGGCAGCAAGAGCACAAGCTTGGAACAATCCACTTACTCTCTGTGTGATCTTGGGCAAGTTGCTTTGCCTTTTGGAGCCTCATTTCCTCGATTGCAGGCTGGGGATCATAAGACTTCCCGCCTTGTAGAGAGGGTTGGACGAGGGGGTGTAGGTGAGGTGCTTGTCACGATGCACTGAACGGCAGCCCCCTTACGACCCTTTCCCTCTCACGGAACCCTCTGAGAGAGGGACCCGGGTGTCCCTCGGGTGCCACCTCCTACCCCAGAGGAGCCTGACCTTCTGATGCCCCTCCCATCCTCCCCCAGGGCGAGATCGAAGACCCCTTCCGCTTCACCACCTTCTACATCCACTTCGCCCTGGTGCTCTTTGCCCTCGTCCTGTCCTGCTTCAGGGAAAAGCCGCCACTTTTCTCCCCAAAAGATGCCGACCCTGTGAGTTTTCCATGGAGGCCGGGTGGTCGTGGGAGTTCACAGCCCACTCCTCAGCCCAGGCCTTACCAGCGTTGCCCATCCCTCCCGGTTCCTTCCATCCCCCACGTCATCTCCACAGTGTGCAAACTGGGGCTTGGAGCAGGAAGGAATGGGCCCCTCCACCCCTGTTCTGCCTTGAGAGCGTGGTGAGCACTCCTGATTTTTCCCGTCCCACCCTCTCACCTTCCAGAACCCCTGCCCAGAGGCCAGTGCTGGCTTCATCTCCCGCCTGACTTTCTGGTGGTTCACAAAGTGAGTTGGCTCTTGCTCCAGCCTGGGCCTGAGGGAGGGGGAGACGGGGTGAGAAGGAGGAGGGAGAGCAGGTCAGAAGTTCAGGGGCCTGAGAAGTTGGGCCTGGCTGGCCCCGCCTCACCCCTGCAGGCATGGGGCAGGGGAGGTGGGGTCACCTGTCTGTTGGGCCTGGGGACTGAGTGCAGGGGCCGGGCCTGGCCCAGCTCTGATCCCAGGCCACAGGCCAGCCCTGCATCTGGTGGGCTGAGGGGAAAGGCCCAGGGGCTTGGGGGAGACTGTAATTAGTTCCGAGCTCTCCTGTCTGGGATAAGCTTGCAGCTTGTCATTTCCTTGGCCACCCCTCAGAGCAGCCTGAGCAAGGCCGTTTCCTCTGCGACCCGGGTGAGGGCTTATTAACCACGCTGTGCTGAGGAGCCACCTGGGCTGCGACTCCATCCGCCCGGCCTTGTCCTCGCCCAGGGCCTTAGCCAGCATGGATTTCATCACTGGGGCCTGGGGGTCAATGGGACAATCTGGGGAGGAAAGAGAGGAGGGACTGAGATAGGAACTTGGGGTCCGTGGCAGTGACCTCCAGCCTGTTCACTGTGGGAATAAAGGAGACAGCTCCCTTGACCACAGCACCCTAGGGAGACCCTCCTTTCTGGAGACCCTGGTCCCCAGCTCCAGGCGGCTAAACTCTGACCCTGTTTGGGGCTGCCCGCCGCCCTAGGATGGCCATCCGCGGGTACCGGCGCCCCCTGCAGGATCGAGACCTCTGGTCCCTGAACAAGGAGGACCGCTCCCAGATGGTGGTGGAGAGGCTGTTCAAGGCATGGAAGAAGCAGCAGAAGAGGGCAGCAGGGTGAGGCCCTCCCAGGGTCCCCACGCCCCTCCATCCCAGCCCCTTCACACACCCCAGTTCTCCTGCAGAAGAAGCTCGTAGACCTGGGGTCCACATGGCTGAGGGTGGGGAGAAGAGCAGGTGCAGGCGGTCCTGGGGTGGGACACTCACGCCTGGGTGGGGCCAGCTCTCCCCAGCTCTACTGAGGCCAGAGAATGGCTGCCACTTTTGTAGCACTTACTCTGTCCCAGGCACAGCCCTAAGCAAGTTGCTTAACTCGATCTCCAACAGCCCTGTGGTGTAAATTCTATTGTCCCCGTGTAACACATGGGGGTACTGAGGCACAGAGGTTTAATGATGCACCCGAGGTCCCCTAGTTGGTGATGGGCAAGGCTGGAATCCATACCACACATTGCACTTACCACTGCACTACCCTGCCTGACTTGAAGGGTAGATTCCAGGGCCTTGCCTTAGGAGGATAACAGGCTGGGGGAAGAAGGTTGAGGCCAGCCCCTCTTCTCAATCTTGTCTCCTCCCGTCTGGAGCAGGGGCTGGAGGAGATGACCCTCTGGCCAAGGGACCTTCCCATTAGCAGCCTCCTGTCCAGGATCCAGGAACCTGTCTCTGGCCAACTGCCCAGCCAAGAGAACTGGGGCCCCTTCCCTACACACTTCGGACCCCAGGACTGAACTCCCTTCCCTCCCACCCAGAACCCGGGGCCCAGGAGCTCCGTATTTGTTCATCCAGAGCCCCCGATTGCCAACTGGCTGTTGGAGGAGCCGGTGGCCTGGGCTTGGTGTGCCATGTCTTAGCTTTCACGGCTTGGAGCCTCTGGGAAGACCTAAGAGCCCCCAGTCTGCCCACTGTACCCCATCTCTGTCCCTCCTTGCCACCTCCACCCCTCCCTGCTCGGCTCCCCAGTGACTAGGCCGCTAGTCATCCCTGTGCATGCGTTCATTCCCAGTTGGCACCCTCCCTGGAGCCAGCCCTGGGGAGGCAGGAGAGGCCCAGAGGCTGGGAATTGCTGGGTCCGTAGGCCTTCTCCTGGAGGAGCAGTTAGAGCGCCCTTCATATGCCCTCTGGCACCTGCTGACAGAGACATTTGGGGAATGAGCTGTAAGGTCACGTTGTCCGCTCCCCTCCTAGTTCCAAGATCTAAGGAAGCAGCTCCCCGATCCTCTCCACTCCTCCCAGCACCTGGCTTTGTGAGCCCCACGTGTCCACTCCTTCCCACTGCTCCTTCCTTCCAGGACCAGACACCAGCCTGAGGCAGCATCTGGGAAGAGAGTCTCCGGTGAGGATGAAGTGCTGCTGGGGGCCCGGCCCAGGCCCCCGGAGCCCTCCTTCCTGAAGACCCTGATAGCCACCTTTGCGCCCAGCTTACTCATCAGCATCTGCTTCAAACTGATCCAGGACCTGCTCGCCTTTGTCAATCCGCAGCTGCTCAGGTCTCCCCATGCTCTCTCTTGCTGCAGCCCTTCCCTGGACGGGGGGCTGTCTGGCTGTCCCTCAGCCCTGAGCCCAGAGGAAGGAACAACATGTGAAAAGAACCCCAGACCAGGAACCGAAAGGGCTATCCCCACTCCATGTGAGCTCCGGCGAGTGGCAACGCCTCTGCCTCAGTCTCCCCATTCACAGTCAGCTTCTATTTACTGGGCACACACTGTGTGCCAGGCACCCTGCGGGAGGCATTAACAAACATTCTCTCATGAAATCCTCCCTACAGTCCCACAGGGAGGTGCCCCTATTCCCATTTTACAAATGAAGAAGCTGAAAAACGAAAAGCAAAAAAAACCCAGAGGAAACAGAAACTCAGAGAGGTGAAGGGACTTGCCCCAGGGCACACTGGGTTTGAGTCCAGGGCCCTCATGCCATCATAATCTGTCACATGAGGGGCTTCGACTAGAAGGAGCTCTCAGATAAGGGAGTGGGGAGGAGAGCTGCCTAGCAGCTGAGTCCCCCAATCCTTTGCTCCTCTATTCGTGCATTCATTCATTCATCCATTCATTCATTCAAAAGATATCTATTGAGACCCCAGGGTAGCAGAATGGTGCCAGACAGTACAATACAGAAGTAACTAAGAAATGATCTTAAAGTCCTATGGGAGAAATCAACGTGTCAATCCAGTACAGTGCAGGCAGAGGTCTCCTCAGGTGTCTGGAAAAACCCCAGGAGGGGCAGGGAAGCCAGCTTGGGGAGGAGCAGGCTATACTGGCAAGCAAAGGAGGTGATCAAGTTTGGAAGGACAAATAGGCACTAGTTAACGAGGTGAGGAAGGAGGGGAAAGGGCAGCTCAGACACAGCCACAAAGACCTGAGGCAGCGTGACTCCAGAACTCCAGGTGATTCTGAATGCTGGAGGAGAGGGTGACCAATGAGAGGGGCAGAAAACAGACAGAGACAGCGAGCTAAGGAAATCTTTGAGGGATTTGATTTTCAAATCTTTTTGAAAGGGCGGGCAGGGGCACCTGGTTTGCATTTTGGAAGGATCCCCCTGCCCATAGTGTGGGGGATGTAGGGCAGGGTGGCCAGGTGGAAGTGGGCAGACCGTGTCAGAGGACGGTCCGGGCCAGGAATGAGATGGGATGGGGGACCTACTGGAGATGGGTGTGTGCGCCAGGGAGAGGGAGGGGTCAAAGGTGACCTGGGTTCTGGCCTGGGTAACTGGAGGATGACGGATCTTTTGCTAAGATGATGGACTCAGCAGGAGGAGGAGGCTGGGCACCCATATGGTGGTGAGTTGAGTCTCAGCCACGTGGGCCACCCCAGGGGAGATTCCTAGCTGGCTAGAGATCACCTGTTCCGAGCCACCCAGTGGAAGCCCAGGGGCCCATATTTGTGGCTAAGCTCTCCCAGAGAGTTCATGCAGAGACCCCAGACAGAACCCTAGGGATTCTCACAGGTGAGGGGTGAGCAGAAGACTGGCTTGGAGGGGCCAGAGCTGGCAAAGAATGATGGAAGAGCAGAGCACAGAGAATGCTGGAGGGTGAGGGTTGGGGGCGTGGCCTCCAGTGAAGCAAGTTGGCCAGTAATACAGAGCCTGAGGAAGATAAGGTGGAGTTTGCTAGTGACTGTCAATAACAGAGGCTGAGACAGAGGGGAAGGGCCTGAGAGCAGGGGGTCTGCCATGGAGACAGGGGCCATGGAGGTCTAGAAACTTCTTATAAAGAAAGGTGTGTTAGTTTCCTGTAGCTGCCAGAACAAGTCACCACAAACTGGGGGGCTTAAGACAGAAATTTATTCTCACGGTGCTGGAGGGCACAAGTCTGAGATCAAGGTGTCGCTGGGGTTGGTTCTTTCTAGAGGCTCTGAGTGGGAATCTGTTCCCTGCTTCCTGGCTTCTGGTGGTTGCTGGCAATCCATGGCATTCCCAAGCTTGTGGATCCATCACTCCAGTCTCTGCCTCCATCTTCCCATGGTGTTCTCTGTATGTGTGTCTGCATCTGTGCCTCTGTGTGCAAATCTTCCTCTCCTTTCTCTTATAAAGACCCTAGTAACTGGATTAGGGCCCATCCTACTCTACTATGCCCTCATCTTAATTCAATTATATCTGCAAAGAGCCGATCTCCAAATAAGGTCATGTTCACAGGCACAGGGGTTAGGACTTGAACATATCTTTCTGGGAGACGACTCAGCCCCCATCAGGAGAGGCCTGGCTAAGATGATGGCGGTAACTCCATGGGGCCGAGGGGAGCTTTGTCCCAACATGGAAGAGACTTGGTCATGTCAGTAGGTGAAGGTACAGGGCTGCCAGCAGAGATGAAGACACTGAAGCTGAGGAGAAAGGGGGCACCGGTGGAGCGTGTTCCTGAGGAGACGGATGGGATCCAGGGCTCAGGGAGCAGGATCAGGCTCAGAAGCCACACGGACACCTCCTCTCCTGTGCCGGAGAAAAGGAAGAGGGCCAGCGCCGGGAGGGAAGTCCGTGGTCGGCAGGGAGTTCTCCATGGGTGGTTGAATGGGAAGACTTAAGTGGGTGGCTGCTGAGAGGGGTGAGGAGTGGGGACAGGTCAGAAGGGAAGAGAAGACAAGTGAAGAGGTCTGTGGCAGGGGGCGTAGGGCCCTGGAGAAGGTCACGGGCTGCACTGGGGGCTGCTGATGTTGGAGAGGCTGGATTTGAGGGGCAAGAGTCTGAGTGGTAGTGCACTGGGCTCCAGAGCCCTCAGCAGCCCAGCAGAAGGTGCGGGAAACTCTGATCAATGGACACATGGCATTTCTTCCTGCCATGTGGTCCAAGGAGGCAAGGAAGGCAGGCTGGTGAGGCTGGTGGTGACAGAAGTCATGGTTGGCAGGGGCCACAGTAGATAAGAATGGAGCTGAAGGCAGAAGGGAGAAGGACGGAGGGTCGTGATCTTGAGGCAGCACTGAGCTGAGTCCCTCTGGCCAGGCGGGGGTGGGGAGGGCCAGCAGCCCCCACCGGAGAGGTTTCAGAGGCAGGGGCAGGGAGGGGGCTGAGGGTGAAAGGGGAGGGCAGCAGTAGAGGGAGCAACGGGGCAAGCCCTCTCCGATCTCATGCCTCTCTCCTCCCCTCGCAGCGTCCTGATCAGGTTTATTTCAAACCCCACCGCCCCCACCTGGTGGGGCTTCCTAGTGGCCGGGCTGATGTTCGTGTGCTCCATAATGCAGACTCTGATCCTACACCAGTATTTCCAGTGCATCTTTGTAATGGCGTTGAGGATTCGCACGGGGGTTGTGGGTATCATCTACAGAAAGGTCAGCTGGAGCAGGGCGTGGAGGGCTGGGGAGGCTGGCCCCGGGGAGCTTTGGAGAGGCCCAGCCCATGACCCCGCTGTCCACCTGCAGGCTCTGGTCATCACCAATTCAGTCAAACGTGAGTCCACTGTGGGAGAAATTGTCAACCTCATGTCAGTGGACGCCCAGCGCCTCATGGAAGTTGCTCCCTTCCTCAACCTGCTGTGGTCAGCACCCTTGCAGATCTTCCTGGCAATCTACTTCCTCTGGCAGGTGACTCTTGAACCCTGACCTCTACTCCCTTCCTCTAACCTTGACCTTGCTGCGAAAGGACAGAGAAGGTTCTTTTGGGTCAGCAGAGGGACTGCATAATGGACACAGGAGCTTCCCTAGATATTGGGGTGGGGGACAGGACTGCACGGATGCTGGTGTCTGCAACCGAATCTTTCTAGCCTGTGCAATTGTCCTTCTCACAGAACTCAGGGGAGGGAAGAGGGACTTTGAGGCAGGGTGGGTGTGACTCTGGCTGTCACTGTCTGTCTGTCTGAATTTGCCTTCCTGTGTGTTTGGACCCCTTCCATGTCTTCCTCTTTGTCCCTATCTGTTGTCCTTATCTGATGGCCGGCTGCTTCTGCAAATGTTTTCGTTGTTAGCTTTCTCTGTGTGTCTGCTTTTCACTATCTATCTGTTTGGTTGACCATCATCGTTTGCTTCCCGCCCATTTCCATGTTTCAGGTCAATAGGCCTCTGTTTGTCTGTTGGGTTCTGTCTATATACTTTGGTTATCTGTCTATCTGTCTTAAATATCCACCATTCGTCCTCAGAACCTGGGTCCCTCCGTCCTGGCTGGAGTCGCTCTTATGGTCTTGCTGATCCCACTCAATGCAGCTGTGGCCATGAAGATCCGTACTTTCCAGGTGGGTGCAGTCAGAGCTGCCAGGTGCCTGGGGAAAGGGCATTCGCTAACCTGGGGCCTCTCACCTACTGGGCTTGCTGAGTATGGATGGCTACAAGCTGCCTTCTCAAACCTTAGCTCACTCTATCCTCGCAACAATGTGAGGGGGTGTTAGAAACACTCTCATTTTGCAGCTGAGGAACGAAGGCCCAGCGAGGTTATGGTGGTCCAGAATCAGGCAGAGCTGGGATTCAAACCTGCATCTTCTGGTCTAATGAGAGTTTCTTCCACCACACCGTGCTGAGTGTAAAGAGCCAGTCATCCAGTCCTTTCTTTGCAAACATTTATTGAAGTCTGCGGTAGTTTCCCATTGCACACAGAAATGACAAACTCCCTAGGACCACCCACCAGACCCCTGCTTGCCTTGCAAGCCCTCACCTCCTGGGGTAAGGCCAAGTTTCAGCCGGTCTGGCCTTCTTTCTTTTCTCCAAAGCACCAAGCTCTGCGTGCCTCTGGGCCACCACACACACTGTTCCCTGGAATGCACTTCATCTCTTCCTTGCTTGCCCAGCTCCTCCCCTTCCGCACCTCCCAGCGTAAACTCTGATGTCCCAGTCCCCACTCCACTATTCTCTCACGGGATCCTGTTGTTTCCCTTCAGAGTGCGCGTGCTAATTCATTCCGCATTTATTCAGGGAGTTGTCTGCTTCCCATCTGCCTCCGCCATCAGACTGTCAGCTTCCTGATGGCAGGGGCCTTGTTTGAGTTGTTCATCATTATCTGCCCCACATCCAGCACATGGCGTGGCACATAGTAGATCCTCAGTAAATGGAGGTTGAACAAATAAATTAATTTGGTGTGCCACATCCTGGGTTAGGGTCTGGGGGAACAAAGAGAATAAGCCATCTATACCTTCAGGAGGCTCACAATCTGCAAAGGAAAGGACACCAAGCCTTAGAAACCCAGGGAAGGAGCAGAGGATGCTGCCTGGGAGGGTCAGTGATGGAGGCACTGAGATTGCAGCTGGATTTTTTCGGGCAGAGGAGATAGGGAGGCCAGGCTGGGCATTCCAGGCTGAGGTGCAGCAGGGCTGGAGGGAGGAAGAATGGGGAGCGGCCTGGATGCCTGCAGTGGCGGTGAGCACATGGACAGTACGAGCCCCTGTGGGCAGAGGCCTGGGCAGGGGAGCGGGGCCTGCCACCGCCACTCTTTCTGCAGGTAAAGCAAATGAAGTTCAAGGACTCACGCACCAAGCTGATGAACGAGATCCTGAGTGGCATCAAGGTGCTGAAGCTGTATGCCTGGGAGCCCAGCTTCCTGAAACAGGTGGAGGGCATCCGGCAGAACGAACTCCGGCTGCTGCGCCAGGCCGCCTACTTCCACGCCGTGTCTACCTTCATCTGGACCTGCACCCCTTTCCTGGTGAGGCTCTCCCACCTCCCCGTGGCCAACCCAGCCCTCTGGGCCCAGCAGGCTCCACTCTAATGCCCATCCCCCACTCCCCAGGTGACCCTGATCACCCTCGGGACGTACGTGACTGTGGATTCAAACAACGTGCTGGACGCTGAGAAGGCCTTTGTGTCCATATCTCTGTTTAATATCTTAAAGATGCCCCTCAACATGCTTCCCCAGTTAATCAGCCTCATGGCCCAGGTAACCCCGGGTAGGGTTGGGGATTCTGCTGGCGTTACGGCTGGTTGTTTGGGACATTTAGGGTCAGGGGGCAATCCGGGGGAGTTACTGGAATCGGGGTCGGGGGGAGGGCTATTTGACATTATGAAGAATTGTTTAAAGTTGAATGAGGTCATTAGAGTCCAGGGTCATTTGGAGACAGAGGAGGTCAGGCAGCGTCTCTGGAAGCCTGAGTTCTCACAGCTTCCTCTTACCAAACTGGACCCTGTCTGTGGCGGTGCGAGCCAGAGAAGACTCAGTCATGGGAGGGGCCCCAGCGTTGGCATCTGGGCTCTCAGGGGCCCCGCCTGGCCCAGAAAGTTTGGGGCCAGCAAGGGTGGAAAGGAGTGGGGGCTGACTCACACTCTCCTGCAGACCAGCGTGTCTCTGAAACGGATCCAACATTTCCTGAGCCAAGATGAGCTTGACTTCGAGTGTGTGGAAAGAAAGACCATCGCCCCAGGTCTAGACAGCCTCTACCTGGGCTGCCCCCTGCCCAGCTCCTGCTCCAGAAAATCCTCTGTTCCAAGCTTTACACTTTTCCCTCGTGGCCCTTTACTTCTTCCTCTTATCACTCTGCTTCAACACTATGCCCCGCTCTCTGCTTCTTCCAGGCTCTCTGCTCTCCTCTCCTTCATCCCTCCCCAGGTCTTGCCCTCTCTCCTTCCTTCCCTCGGGCTCCCTCTGCCCTTTCCACTGCCCCCCAGCTTCTCTGCCTTCTCCCCTTGGCCCCCTCCCCCAGAGATCCCCATACCTCTCTCCTCCCCCTCCCTCAGGCTTCCTGCCCTCTCCTCCTCTTCTCCCCAGCCCTCCCTGCCTGCTTCCCCATCCCCTGAGCCCCCTGACCCTGTATACCTTGGTCTTCCCAGGCCATGCCATCACCATACACAACGGCACCTTCACTTGGGCCCAGGACCTGCCCCCCGTCCTGCACAGGTACCAGCTTCTCCCATCCCTTCTCAGCGACCTAAGTGGACTAAAGGTCAAATCAATGGCAGAACCCCCGCCTCACCCCCTAGTCTTTGGCCTGAAAAGCAGGAAAGCCTCAGCTTGCCAGGGTGGTATCTGGAAGAGAGGAGGATTTGGGTCTCTGAGTGGAATATTGGGGACCAAAAACCTGACTGCTGTCTCTGACTGGCTCCTGGGCTCCTTGCCCCCAGCTTAAACATCCAAGTGCCAAAAGGGGCACTCGTGGCCGTGGTGGGGCCCGTAGGCTGTGGGAAGTCCTCCCTGGTGTCTGCCCTGCTGGGAGAGATGGAGAAGCTGGAAGGCAAGGTGTATATGCAGGTAAGAGGGGTAGGGACTCCTGGGAAGGGAAGCTTGGCCAGGCCTTGGGCAAACCCTGAAGTAACCTTCACCTGTGGCCAGGGCTCTGTGGCCTACGTGCCCCAGCAGGCGTGGATCCAGAACTGCACTCTTCAGGAAAATGTGCTGTTTGGCCAAGCCCTGGACCCCAAGCGCTACCAACAGGCGCTGGAGACCTGTGCCCTGCTAGCCGACCTGGAGGTGCTGCCTGGCAGGGACCAGACAGAGATTGGAGAGAAGGTACAGGGTTCCCTCCCATCCCTCGGGGAGCTGGTACATACAGCTGCCTACCTCAACCCAGCCGAGGTCCATATATTCATTCATTCACGCAGTCATGTAATATCATGCCCAGCTCTGTGCCAGGTACTGGGGAAACAGACCTATTAGTGGGGGAGACTGACTTTGAACAGGTAGAGGCTGTAGAATGTCCTGAGGGCCAGGCTGAAGGCCTGTGCCGGATACAGGGAGGCACTGAGTGGGGAGTCTGTGTAAGGAGAAGCATCATTGCATTTTGAGCTGAATCTTAACGGCTGAGGAAGAGGAGCTCATCGTTCATCTATTCATTCATTCATTCATCAGATTTTATTACATACCTACTCTATGCCAGGTAATATTATACAGTAGTGAATACGCCAGACCAAAATCTCTGCCTTCTTATAGCTTACACTCTAGTGGGGGAAAGAGATGATAAGCAAGATAAATAAGTAAAATATATAATATTTAGCTAAATGCTAAGGGGAAAGAATAAAATGGGGAAGGGATATAGGAATATGTGTGAGGCTGTATTGGTAGGCTGGCTTCTCACTGGGAATCGGACACCTAAACAAAGTGAGGGAGTGGGACACATCTGGGGACATGGAGCCCTATTTGGGGGAAGGGCAGTCGAGTGGAGAGAGGAGGAAGTGCAAAGGTCCTGAGGTAGAAGTGTGATTGGGGTATTCAAGAACCAGCAAGGAGGCCAGCGTGGCTGGAGTGGAGTAAGCAGGGATGAGGAAGAAGAGATGAGGCCAGTGAGGTGTTCAGGCAGCCAGGTTACATAGGGCCTTGCAGTCCACTATATAGACTGTGGCTTTTACCAAGAGGGGTGGAAAGCCTTTGAAGGGGTGAGCTGAGGAATGATGGGTAGACAGTCATTCCGGTGCAATTTGGTGTGACTGGAGGTTAGGAAGGGATGGGGAGGGTATGCAAGGCAGAACATTTACCCTAAAAACTATGGGACATCAGTGAGAGTTTTTTTTTAATTAACTTATTTATTTTTAGTTGTAAAATATGCCTGACATAAAATTTACCATCTGAACCATTTTTCAGTGTGCAGGTCAGTAGTGTTAAGTACATTCACAAAACCAATCTCCAGAACCCTTTTCATCTTGCAAAACTGAAACTTTATGCCTACGAACCAGTAACTCCCCATATTCCCCATTCGCTTCTCCCCCCAGCCCCTGGCAGCCACCATTCTACTCCCTATTTCTATGAATTTGATTATTCTATGTACTTCCTATAAGTAGAATCAGACAGCATTGTCTTTTTGTGACTGGCTTATTTCGCTTAACATAATGTCCTCAAGTTTCATCCATGTTGTAGCACGTGTCAGAATGTCTTTCCTTTTTAGGGCTAATATTCCATTTTATGTATAGACCACATTTTGTTTATCCACTCACTTGTCAATGGTCACTTGGGTAGCTTCCACCTTTTAGCTATTGTGAATAATGCTGTGGTGAACACGGGTGTGCAAAGATCTCTTAGAGCCCCAGCTTTCAATTCTTTTGAGTATATACTCAGAAGGGGAATTGCTAGATCATACGGCAATTCTATTTTTTTTATTTTTTGAGTAACTGCCATACTGTTTGCCATAACGGCTGCACTATTTTACATTCCCCCCAGCAGTGCACACAGGTTCCAACTTCACATTCTGGCCAACACTTGTTATTTTCTGTTTTAATTTTTGTTGTCATGCTTTTTTTTTTTTCTTTGAGGAAGATTAGCCGTGAGCTAACTGCTGCCAATCCTCCTCTTTTTGCTGAGGAAGACTGGCCCTGAGCTAACATCCATACCCATCTTCCTCTACTTTATATGTGGGATGCCTACCACAGCATGGCTTGCCAAGCGGTGCCATGTCTGCCTCCGGGATCCAAACTGGCAAACCCTGGCCCTCCGAAGTGGGACATGCAAACTTTACCGCTGCGCCACCAGGCTAGCCCCTTTTGTTGTCATTCTAATGGATGTGAGGTGATATCTCATTGGGGTTTGATTACATTTCTCTAATGATTAGTGACGTTGAGCATGTTCTCTTGTGCCTCTATATCTTCTTTGGACAAATGTCTATTTACATTATTTGCCCATTTTCTAATCAAGTTGTTTGTTTTGTTGTTGAGTTGTAGGAATTCTCGATTTATACTGGATGTTAACCCCTCATCAGTTATGAGAGTTGCGAACATTTTCTTCCTTTCTATAGGTTGCTTTTTCACTCTTTTCATTGTGTCCTTTGATGCATATAAGTTTTTAATTTTGATGTGGTCCAATTTATCTATTTTTACTTTTATTGCCTGTGCTTTTGGTGTCATATCCAAGAAACCATCGCCAAATCCAACGTCATAAAACTTTCCACTCTGTTTTCTTCTAAGAGTTTTATAGTTGAAGCTCTTTTAGGTTTTTCGTTTGTTTTTATCCTAAAGATTTCAGTGTATTTTCTCAAAACAAAGACATTATCTTAGGCAATTATAGTTGGACTATCGAAATCAAGAAATTTAACATTGATACAATATTGTTATCTAATTCACTGTCTGTGGTCAAATGTTGTCATGTGTCCCAGTAATGTCTTTTTTAGCTATTTTCTTTCCTGGTCTAGGATCCAATTCAGGATCATGGCTTTGTATTGCGTTGTCATCTTTCTTTATTCTCTATCAGTCTGGATAATTCCTCAGTCTGTCTTTCATGACCTTGACACTTTTGAAGACTGCAGGCCAGTCATTTTCTAGGATGTCTGTCAATTTGAGCATGATTAGATTCAGAGTACAGTCATGCCCCACACGGTGATGGACTGCACATATGACAGGGGTCCCATAAGATTAGTACCATGTAGCCTAGGTGTGTAGTAGGCTAGACCATCTAGGTTTGTGTAAGTACTGTATTTCTAGGTTCTTCTGGCGGGTCTGAGAATTAAATTGACATAAGACAGATTAACAGGAGACAAACAAACGAAAGTTTAATAACAGGTGTACACGGGAGAAACCCAGGAAAACTGAGTAACTTGCCAAACTGGCTGAAACCCTCACCTTAAACACCATCCTCAGATAAAGACAAAAGAAGGTGGTGGGGGTGGGGAGAGTCAGGGGGTTCAAGGGGAAGGAAGGCAACTCACAGGTAGGTGAAAAGGAGCAAACTTTGGAGAACAAGTAGTGTTTGGCCGCACAGAAACAGAAGAACACAGAGGGGAGCCCAAGAAACAGGCTTTTCTAGGTTCCTCCCTGTCTACCACCTAGTTCATGTTATGCTAAGGCCATAACTGCTTCCTGAGACAGGTTTTTTTTAATCTGACTTCTTTTAGGAAGTTAAGAGGGAGGTAAGGAGAAAAACTTTCTGAGTCTTTTGCTTCTTAAAAATAACCAGCCTAAAATAATCCTCATGTTAAAGAGACACATTTTAGGGTGGCAAATTTTATTCCCTGTCAGTACACCCTATGATGTTAGCACAATAATGAAATCACCTAACAATGCATTTCTCAAAACATCCTCCCCATGATGAAATGATGTCTGACTGTATATGTCTTTTGGGGAAATATACCAAGGAAATGATGTTAAGTCCTCCTTGGTGCATCATATCAGGAGGCACATGATGTTGGTTGGTGCTTTATTGACAATGTTAACTTTGATCACTTGATTGAGATGGTATCTTTTTTTTTTTTTTTAAAGATTTTTAATTTTTTCCTTTTTCTCCCCAAAGCCCCCTGGTACATAGTTGTACATTCTTTGTTGTGGGTCCTTCTAGTTGTGGCATGTGGGACGCTGCCTCAGTGCGGCTTGATGAGCAGTGCCATGTCCGTGCCCAGGATTCGAACCAACGAAACACTGGGCCGCCTGTAGCGGAGCACACGAACTTAACCGCTCGGGCACGGGGCCAGCGCCTGAGATGGTATCTTTCATTGATGATTTTATTTCATAACTTTCATTGATGTTTCTTGCCTAAATCAATGTTTACTGTAATTTTTGCCAAACAGTGATTTCCTAACTCCTTAGTTATTGGTTGGCATTCTACTCTAAGAGAGAGCTTTGGGGCTGGCCCGGTGGCGCAGCAGTTAAGTGTGCATGTTCCGCTTCTCAGCGACCCGGGGTTCGCCGGTTCGGATCCTGGGTACGGACACGGCACCGCTTGGCACACCATGCTGTGGTAGGCGTCCAACATATAAAGTAGAGGAAGATGGGCATGGATGTTAGCTCAGGGCCAGTCTTCCTCAGCAAAAAGAGGAGGATTGGCAGCTGTTAGCTCACGGCTAATCTTCCTCAAAAAAAAAAAAGAGAGAGAACTTCTCCCTCCTTCCCCATTTTTTACTTATTCATTAATTTCTTTATATCAATATTAATTTCTCATGGATTCTGATTTAATTCCATGGGTTATCATCCATTACTATCATTATTTATCTTGATGCTCAAACCTGTCAGTGAAGGGTTTTAAGCAGGGACGTGAATTGCATTTTGAAAAGTTGCCCGGACTGCATTGTGGAGGGGCCTAAGGGCACAGGAACCAGAGAGGAGGCTCTCCTGATGTTCTGGGGGAAGTGATGACGGTCTGAGCCTTGAGGTGGGCATGGGAAACTTTTAGGTAGGAGTCCGAAGTTATAGGAACCCAGAGAAGGCCTCCACATCTGACTCAGCTCCTTCCCATCTCTCTTGGACCCACGCTGACCTCGCACACGCAAACCTAATTTAGTGCCCAGCACATAGTAGGCACTCAAAAAGGGCTGGTTGGTTGAATGCAGGCATGCTCGCATGCCTCAGTCACTACAGCTGCATGTCCACCCCCTGCTTCTCCCCAGAAGCTCCAGCTCCCACCCCATACTTGCTCTCCCCAGGGGTCAATTTCTAAGGGTACCCTGAAGAACTGGGCCCTGTTCAGATGGAATGAGGAAAGCGGGTGGTAGGAGAGCAGGCTGTACCTCTGGGGTCTACCCTCTGGGCCCAGCCCTGCCACTGTGTGCCTCAGTTTATCCATCAGGGGTTAAAGGAGAGATCTTACCTCCCCACAGCACCTGAAAAATCTCAAGGTTGATGAATTCTGGGGTTGATGCTGGGTTTCCATCCTTGCTTCTGCCCTCAATAGTTCAGGACCTTGAACAAAGTCATTAACATCTTGGGCTCTAATTTCTTCATCTGGAAAGTGGGGCTAATGATACCTCCCTGGAAGGACTGACATGAGGACCAAATGAGATAGTTGTTACGAAAGTCACCTGAGGACTGTATGGGCGATGGGAGATTAAAAAGTCTATTAAGGACCTCCTGGGGATTTCTAGCCTCCCAGTGTTGGAAGATGGCAGGCAGGGAACCCACCTGGGTAGGGTGGTGGAGCCAGGGGAGCAGGATGTCCTCACTCACCCTGGGAGGACTCAGAGCCACTACCCCTTCCTCTGTGGCCTCAGAGCTTCACAGGGACGGGATGAGGCATGTGAAATGTGGATTTAGTCATCTCCCTTGCTGAATGGCAGTGGACAGGGCCCTTGTCCCCCTTGTCCCTGTCTGACTCCCTTCTACTCAGCCCACACCTCCCCTCCCTCCTCCATCCAGGGCATTAACCTGTCTGGGGGCCAGCGGCAGCGGGTCAGTATGGCCCGAGCTGTTTACAGTGCTGCCGACATTTTTTTGTTGGATGACCCACTGTCAGCCGTGGACTCCCATGTGGCCAAGCATATCTTTGACCAAGTCATCGGGCCAGAGGGTGTGCTGGCAGGCAAGGTGAGACCCGCAGGAAGCTAAGGGGACTAAGGTGAGACCTAGGACCCTAGGAGAGAACGGGTGGGAGGCCAAGGGGTTTGTGTGAGACCTGGAGGTGTGGGAGGCCTGAGAAGCAGGAGTGTGGGTTGGGCGGAGGGAGAAACCCACGGTGGGGGGGACGCACCCCAGAGGCACCGAGCCAGCTGGGGGTGTGAGCATGGGGTGAGTCACTTGTGTGCCTGTCCATGCTCCCGGGCACACCGGTGCCTCTCACTCCACGGCCTCGTGCCTGTGCAGTGGGCGTGCCGAGGGCGCTAGGAGTGATAGCCTGCTGTCTCCTCCCCAGACGCGGGTGCTGGTGACGCATGGCATCAGCTTCCTGCCCCAGACAGACTTCATCATAGTGCTGGCTGACGGACGGGTGTCTGAGGTGGGCACCTACACAGCCCTGCTGCAGCGCAACGACTCCTTTGCCAACTTCCTCCGAAACTACACACTGGATGACAGTGGGGAGCACCTGGAGGAGGACAGCAGGGCCAGTAGGTGCCATCCCTGGCCCTGCATGTTCCTACGCCTTCCCAGCGTCTCCTCTGTCTCGGGGCCTCTGAGTGTCTCTGGACAGGCCCAGTGTTGTACAAGGGAGGTTCTGGGCAACTTGGACCACCTGTGTGGCAGTCAGACATCCCCAAGAGGGAAAGGGAAGCAGATGTGGTCAGCTCCCTCCTCCCCTTCTTCCCTAACTGGGTGACCCCCACCCGCAGCTCAGGTCTCAGAGCCTTAGTTTTCCCAAGAGTCAAAAGGGCATAAGAACCCAGCTTGGACGGCAAGGCTGTTTCACAGATAAATTGTAAATATGCAAGTGCTGGGGAAAGTCATTTATTTATCAATAAATATTTATTGAGGAATTACTATATCTAGGCACTGAGAGAGAGCAGCGAACAAACAGAAAACTCCCTGTGCTCGTGGAGCGTATTGAAAGCCCCGGGCTCACGAGAGCACCGTGTAGCCCAGTCCTGGCTCCCCCACCCCAGACTCTGCTGGCTCACAGCCCTTCTGCGTTTTTTTGCTGTATATACAGCTAACATGTCTTGAGCATTTACTAAGTGCTATGCCCCCCGCTAAGCACTTGACACACATTCTTTGCTTCGGTCCTCACAGTGACAATGACACGATGAGGCAGGTACTATTCTTATCTTCATTTTACCTGCCTGCCTACAGTGATGCAGTGAGGATTTGAGATTTAAGCTCAGCCTGTCTGACTCCAGAGCCCAAGCTCCTAACCCTTGTATTTGAGTCCCCTTCTCCAGGGTCTCCAATGGGAAGTTTTTCTTCTGTCTAACCTACATCTTTCTTGCTGCCCTCTCAATGCTCTCTTCTGTCATGCTTGTCCATTCGGGCCTCGTCGTTGGAGTGGGGATTGGGGGATACCAGGGGCTTTCAGGGAGCTTGCTGGCCTCTGTCTCCCTCCCAACCCACTGCAGCTTTGGAGACTGTAGACGACGAGGAGATGCTGCTGATTGAAGACACGCTCAGCAGTCACACGGACATGATGGAGAATGAGCCAGTCATGTATGAGGTCCAGAAGCAGTTTATGAGGTGAGCTCCTGAGCTCTCAGCACCCTGGGAGGCTGCCTCAGGGCTCCCCAAGCCCTGCCAGCGTGGGTGCAGGTGGTTGTATTCCCTGACGCTCACACCCCGGGCCTCTGGCTGCAGCCTGAACCCTCCTCCTGGGGCTCTGTCCTGTGGGTGTGTTGGAGGCCTCCTCTCTGGGCCTGACCAGCTGCCTCCGCAGACAGCTGAGTGCCATGTCCTCGGAAGGGGAGGGCCAGGGTCGGCCTGTGTCCCGGAGACGTGTGGGTCCAGCAGAAAAGGTAGTGCCCGTAGCAGAGGCGAAGGCAAGCGGGGCACTGATCCAGGAGGAGAAGATGGAGACGGGCACTGTGAGTAGGGTGGACAAGGAGGGCTGGAGAGGGTGGGCAGGCCCCCAAAAGTCCCCGGCCTCACAGGTGTCCTCTGTCCCTGACTGCCATTGCTGTGCAGGTGAAGCTGAGTGTGTTCTGGGATTATGCCAAGGCCATGGGACTCTGTACAACACTGGTCGTCTGTCTGCTGTATGCGGGTCAGAGTGCAGCTGCCATTGGGGCCAACGTTTGGCTCAGCGCCTGGACTAACGAGGCCATGGTGGACAGCCGCCAGAACAACACCTCCCTGAGGCTGGGTGTCTATGCCACCTTGGGAATTCTGCAAGGTGAGCCTACAGAGAGACCTGGAAGGGGCTCCATTTGCCCCTTCCTCACCTCAGGGCTCCTAGGTCCCCCAGCCATGCCCTTGCCTCTGAGTCTCCCTCCACCATCATAGCCATGGTGCCACCCAATGCCTCCTTAACCCACCCAAGTGGTCCCCTCGCCTCTGAGCCCACCTAGCCCACCCTGGCGATCCCCTCTCTCAGAACCTGCCCCTGCATGCCCGCCACCTGGCCTAGGTGAGTGAGAGTCCCTCTGTCTCCTCCAACAGGGTTCCTGGTGTTGCTGGCAGCCGTCACGATGGTGGTGGGCAGCGTCCAAGCTGGGCGCTTGCTTCACCAGGCGCTGCTACACAACAAGATGCGCTCACCACAGTCCTTCTTCGACACGACGCCCTCAGGCCGTATCCTCAACCGCTTCTCCAAGGACATCTACGTCATCGATGAGGCTCTGTCTCCCGGCATCCTCATGCTGCTGGGTACCTTCTTCAACGCACTCTCCATCCTCGTGGTCGTCATGACCAGCACACCGCTCTTCGCGGTGGTCATCCTGCCCCTGGCTGTCCTCTACATCTTGGTGCAGGTGCGTGGCATGCCGGTGGGCGTGGCTCTCGTGTGGGCGGGGGACCAGGGGTGGGATGTAGGGAGGCTGGACTCCAGCATCACAGCTGAATTTGCTTAAGGACAATAGTAGTCAGTTACTCACCTCTTTGAAACTTCTTTTTATCACCTGCAAAATAGAGAGACTCATGGAACCTACCTCATAGGGCTGTTGTTGGATAAAATGAAACCCTTGCAAATTGTGGCTGGCCCTGGAACTCTGGATGCTGGCTGTTTTTCAGTAAAATATTAAGTTTGAGACATATTATCCTTCCCGTCTTTTTACACCTGTCTAAACATGGATGTGTATGTATGTTCTAAGACATACGAGCTGATAACATTCAGATCCAGCTAACTGTAAAAGGCATTTGCATTGCTGAGCCCCTAGCTCGCCAGGACTAATCAATTGATGAAGGTCATCCACGAGGTGGCCGGAAGCTCAGCCCCTGTGTACAGAGACCCTGGTCTGGGCTGTGCTAAGTGTTGGGGCAGGGGACCCCCAGATATACATTCTATATGGCCCTCGCCATCTTGGGGCCCACAGGGTAGAAGATGGAAGCTGTAGACAGAACCATGTTTTTGTGGGGCTGAAGTGGGGCTGGGGTAGGGAGAGTCTCTTGAAGAAAAAGAATACAAAATTATCTTCTTTTTGCACATTTTGCAAAATTTTGACTGTGTGAGAACACTGCTAGGGCCCCTAAGTGGAGTAGGCATATTCGCTGACTTAGGAGGCCGTGCAAGTTCAGTGCTGTAATCCAGGGCCCCACAGAGGGGGCGGGGGTCAGGAACTGAGAGGGAATCACGAAAGGCTTTGTGGAGGAAGTGGCCTGGAAGATGGAGCAGAGATGAGCAGAGAGAAAGCGGGGAATGAGTTCACGGAGCCACATCAGAACCCCAAGTCTTGAGTCCTTGCAGGTAGCAGGAGGGAGCAAGGTCTAATGGAGGAGTGGGGCTGTCTGGGAAGAGGCCCGGGGGAAATGGATGGGTTCAGAGGACATGTAGGACTGAGTTGGGGGTCGCACAGTTCTGACCCCAAGCTCTTTCTCCAACCTCCGTCAGCGCTTCTATGCAGCCACATCACGGCAACTGAAGCGTCTGGAATCGGTCAGTCGCTCGCCCATTTATTCACGCTTTTCGGAGACGGTAACTGGCTCCAGCGTCATCCGGGCTTATGGCCGCAGCCAGGACTTCATAGCCCTCAGTGATGCTACAGTGGACACGAACCAGAGGAGCTGCTACGTCGATATCGCCTCCAACCGGTCAGAAACCTGCCCCCCTTACTCCCGGCCCCTCCAGGAGTTCCCACCAGGGTCTCTGTGGTTCTGGGTCCTAGCCCCTCCTTCCCCTCAAACAGAAAACTGGCCCCTTCCTGCACCTGCCCCACTTCCTCCCTGTCTGATCCCCACAGGTGGCTGGGGGTCCATGTGGAGTTCACGGGGAACTGTATTGTGCTCTTTGCTGCCCTCTTTGCTGTGATTGGGAGAAGCAGCCTGAGTCCGGGGCTGGTGGGCCTTTCTGTGTCCTATGCCCTACAGGTACGCAGGGCTCCGGGCCCCAGGGCAGGGCCACCTCTAGGGCGGAGGACACACAGGTGTCCCAGACATCACCTGAGCACCTAACTCTGCCCGGTGTGGGGACCAGCCACAGATTCTGCCCACCAGGACTGTGAGCTCCCAGTGCCGCGTGGAGTGCCACTCCCACCAGCAGGGAACTGTAATGCAGGGTGAGCAGGTCTCTGTGGAGGGAGGAACAAAATGTTGTAAGAACGTGGCGGAGAGTCTCTACCTGGGGTGTTGGAGAAATGATCTTGGAGCTTGGCCCCAAAAGACAAACTGAATTTGTCCTGCCTGTGCACAAGATCTAGAAGGTCAACCCTGACAGAGGCCCTGGGCGGGGAATCCCCCTCGTTTCACACACCCACAGAGAAAGTACCTGGAGAAGGTGACCGGAGCCGGGGCTGGAGGTTGGGCAGGTCACTGTGATATCAGCCTATAGTTTCAAAGGGTTAAATAATTACCAATGGAATTTATGCGAATCAGATCACCTTTTTGATGCCTCAAGTGGCTCAAGTCTTGAATGCTCTGGTAAACAAAGGACAATCCAGACACATCTTCATCTCACACTTTAATGTACACATGAATCAGGGAGAGCTTGTTAAAATGTAGGTTCTGGTACAGTAGGCCTAGAATAGGGCTCAGGATTCTGCATGTCTATCAAGACTCCTTGGGGCCAGCCGCGTGGCTGAGTGGTTAAGGTCACACGCTCTCCTTCCCACGGCCCAGGGTTTCGCTGGTTCACCACTCGTCAGGCCACGTTGAGGCGGCGTCCCACGTACCACAACTAGAAGGACCTACAACTGAAAATTCACAACTATGTGCTGGGGGGATTTGGGGAGAAAAAAGCAGAAAAAAAAAAAAAGAGGATTGGCAACAGTTGTTAGCTCAGGTGCCAATCTTTAAAAAAAAGAAAAAGACTCCTTGGTCCACAAAGTGTGGTCCAGGGGTGAGTCACGTCAACATGGTCTGGGAGGTTGTTAGAAATGCAGAATCTCAAGTCCCACCACAGACCTACTGAATCAGAAGCTGCATTTCAACGAGATCCTCTGGGAAGTCTTTCTTATACATATTAATGTTGAGAATCACTGGGCTGGGTGGCCATTAGTTAAATCTGCATTGCCACTGCCTGAGGTACAGTTGTGATGAGAGCCCCAGGTGGCACCCCTGTGGACTTGCCTAGGCCCACCTGGGTCATAGATGGGACAGGAGCATAATCAGGGAGTCTGAACTCCTCCCAAAGCTGTTGCAGAGGGAGGGAAGATCACGCTACCCATGACCCAGTCCCTTTGGCCAGGTGACATTTATTCTGAACTGGATGATCCGAATGATGTCAGCCTTGGAGTCTAATATCGTGGCCGTGGAGAGAGTCAAGGAGTACTCCAAGACAGAGACGGAGGTGCGTCCGGCAGAGAGCCTGGGGCAGGGGGAACCTAGAATTGCTGGGGAAGGGTGCTTGGTGGCCCGCCATCCCTGTAGCCCAAGGCCCGGTGTGCAGGCGGCTCTTTCCTCGTTCATTCAACCCTTATCGAGCATCAGCCAGGTCTGTGCTAGAAGGTGTAGAGGGTCCAGAGCTGAGCAATGTCGGCTCTGCCCTCAGGCAGATTGTGAGCCAGTGGGAGCGGTAGGACAGTGCGGGGCTCTGCAGTGGAGGACAGCAGCCTTGCGTGGTGCACCCAAAGAGGGCACATATGGGGGGGTCATTCAGCTGGGGTGAGCAAGACAGGTAAGCATTCCAGCCAAGGACATCCGCCTGGATGAAGGAGCGGGGGTGGGGCGGCGTGCCCTTTGTTGGGGAAAGGAAGTTGTCCTCCCCTGGGGGCGCAGACTTTTCTCCGCCCGCTCCCTCCCGTGGTTGCACCACAGGCTTCTTCATGTCCAGAAGCTGCACCATCTCTGAGATCTTAACGTCAAGCGTCCCACTTTCAGACCACCCTTCTCATCCCCCTGGATCACGTGTTCCACACCCTCCGCTGACACAGTACTTTGTCCTCATTGGGACCCCCAATCCTGTCACCTGCCTTTATCCCTCTATCCATCAGCTCATCTAGCCTGGATCCTATGTTCCACCACTGCCGCTGCTCTCAATGCCCCTGCCCTTCTCCCTCTCAGTTATACTCACCTACGAAACCCCGCCTCAGGTGCCCATCTGTCTACCTTCTACGTGCCTGCACGGAGCAGCTGAAACCTTGCTGGAGGACCTCACTGCTTCTACTTCCAGTTTGTAACCACACACCACTGCTGGGTATTCCTGCTTTTCTTCCCCGGGAAGCAGGTGTTCCCACTCTCAGAAAGATCTGTTCTGAACATTTTTTCCTCAAACCCCCACACCTCCTTCTCCCTTGTGCTCATCCATCGGCCTTGCCTGACAGGTCAATGAGAAAATAGGTGATAAGGGGTGAACTCCCTTGACCTTCCTGCCTCCGGATTTTCAAACCTGCCTGTGCTCCTTTCACCTTCTTCCTTTCTCTTTCAACAGGAAGTGGCCCTCCTTGTTTCAAAGTCCACCCCTTCTACTTTGCACGGCCACCCAAGGACTCGCTTCCTCCATTACACCCTCCATCTCCCACATGGTCCGTCTTGCTCCCTCTGTTGGATGATTCCCACTCACATGCAAAAATATGCCATCATATCTTCCGCTTAGACACACAAACCAACCCGCCCTTTCCCCCACATCCTACTGCCCCATTTCTCTGCTCTCTTTTGCCACGCAGCTTGCTTTAAAATATGGTCCACATGTTCTCCCCAGTCCCATCACCCTTGAACTCATCTGCCTCCTGCAACCTGGAGGAAGGACCCCTCCCTTCTTCTTGGAAGGCCCTCCCTCATGGCTTCTGTGACCCCAGCTCTGGCCCTGTCAGTCTCCACTGAGCTCCCCGCCCCCCCCCCCCCCCCCCCCG